TCTCCTAACAAGCTCCTCTTCAGCAGCGCAGCCCCTGCAGGTCGGAGCAAGTATTCTCTCTCTCCGGGAGTGTAATAAGGAGAAGCGAATAGAAATTACCAGGAACGTTACAAAAAAAGGTAAAGCACCAGATGGCCTCTTGTTCCCAAGCCAGTGTAAAATAGTCCAAGATTTAAATGAAACAAAAGATGACATTCTGAAAACTGCAACTCCTTGCCCACCCTTGGTCACTTTTCTGGTTGCTACCTGCTCTTCTGATAGAAAACAGCTCCCACCCTAAGCCGGTCCCATGGACAAAGAAGGTTTGATTCTCTGGGACCTAATTTCCCTCGAGTGAGCAACATCGAGTCCAGATTTTCTGTCTTCCCCTGGCATGAGTAAGTGCAGGTCAGAGCTTTCCCACAGGAGATCACCCTTGCATTTCATCCTGATTTATAGTCTTCCTTCAAAACCTGTGCCACTTCACTCACTCTTATCTGTCCCCTCCACTCCTATCTTCTGATCCTCAATGAGTGCGCCATGCTGCCTCCTTCAGAGTTAAAGGGAAGGCTATTTTCTGGCTAGTAAACATATAGAAAGACACTCAAACACTGTTAATCAGAACAACAAAAGAACAAGATGACTTTTTCTTCTCAGAGGTAGGGAGGATATGGGAAAGCAGATATTCCTTGGGCAAGAAAACAAATCGGCACAACCTTTCCAGAGGACAATTTTGTAAGAACAATTAAACTCACAAGTGCACATTTCTTGCATTCTAGCATTTCTCCTTCTTGGTCACTTCCCTAGCTAGAGAACCACTTGCAGAAATGCTTAAGGGGACACACACCCAAGGCTGTTCACTGCAGACTGTTCACAATGATGAAACATTGGAACAACCAAAATGCCCTCACAGGGCAACGGATACTAGAAGTTTCTGTAGAATGAAATACTATACAGCAATTTAGCATAATGATGCAGCTCTACGTGGACAGAGGAAGAAAGTGATCTAATATATATAATGTGAGGTGAATAAAATAAAATGCAGAAGACTGCACACAGTATAATAGCATTTTAAAAATCCACACACAAAGCAAACTATAATTATATATCTCTACATATAGGTAACAGAAAAGAGAAAGATCTAGAATTATCACCTTCAGGAGGGGCTGGGATTAAAGAGAGGGAGTCAAAGAGAGGTTTATTTCTACCCTTTTTTTGTATCCCTCACAAAACGCATTGCTATAATATTTGCATAATCTTTTATAAGTTATTAGCATTTGAATAAATGGGTGATTCTCCCAGGAGCATTCCTAGCTTCACGTCAGTGGTGACTGAGGAAGCGATTCAGAAATGAGGCAGAACAGGGAAGAAGCCAGCACTGATGCTTCTAGCAAGTTTCACTTTCATCCCCACTTGCAGGAGGATGTAGAATGCGACCACAGTGGAATCAAAATAGCTCAGTCCTAAGACAAGCAGGCAGGAGACAGATTGTTCCCACGGCCAAAGACAAAACCACTCATAGGAGCACAGTCCCTTACCCCTTGGCTGAGAAAAAAATCGCTGAGTCACTCATTTCCCAGTGACATGAGTGTTGCCTTGAGTGTTGACTGGAGAGCCCAAGGTTTTAAAAGAGAAGATAAACTTAGGGAAATGCTTGTCTTTCTATTTGGGGTGTCCCTCTGTCTCCTAAACTGAGTTCTGTCATTGAAAAAAAATAAAAAGAGCTAAGGCTTACTGAGCATACAGAACATGTCAGACACTGTTCTAAGTGATCTGCATGCAGTTCTCATTTAATTCACAGATAAAAAGACATATGAATGTAGGAAAGGTATTCCTACACCTTTATATTATTCCCATTTTACGAGTGAGGAAACCAAGACCCAAAGGGATTAAATAATTTTCCCAAAGTCACACAGCAGGTCAGAGGCAGCTTTGGAGCCCAGGCAGGGTGACACCAGAGTGTGTGCAGGAACCACTCTATCATCCTGCCTCCCGTATTGCACTATTACAAGCATTGGTTTACTTACTCCACACATGTCTGTTTTCCTCTGCTTGAGTATAAGTCTCAGTAAGGTAACAGCTACCATTTGAGTGCTTTACTAAAGTGTCAGGCGCTAATCTAAGTCCTTTATTTTTTATTTATTTTTCTAAATCAATCTTTATTGTTCATATTATTACAAAAGTTCCTCACTTTTCCCTCCTCCACCAGGTTCCCACCCCACCCTCCGCCCCCTCCTCACCCCCATTGTCCTCATCCATAGGTGCACAGTTTATGTTCAGTCTCTTCCCGCATCCACCACTCCCTTTTTCCCCGATGAATTGTCAGTCCACTCCCCTCACGCTAAGTCCTTTAAATGCATGAAGTTACACAGCTCCACAGCACACCTGGGAATAAACCAAGCCCAGAGACCCTTACCAAAAAGTCATAGAACTGTAGTCAAACCTAGGCAATTCTTTCTAGCACCCTCAAAGATGTTCTTCCCCTGGACTCTGTAAATACCTAGAGAAAGCTTGATGGATGAAAGTACAAGTACATAAAGAATTCTTACTTCCACCCAAGAAGGCAGTAGGAAAATGCAGTTCTCACCTTCTCCCAAAACCACATCAAAATTACAACTAAACTACAGAACAACCATTATTTGGAACCGCCTGAAGTCTAGTTGAAAAATGGAAGTCCTACAACTAGGAAATTAAGGAAGAAGCCATATTGAGATTGGTAAGAGGGGTGTAGATGTGGAACAAGGTGGCAGATAAAAATTAGGAGAGTTATCTCAGCTGTGGAGATACCCTCTGAGGAGCAAGGGGTCCCATTGCCACACCAACCCACTGCCTCCCCATCAGATTCCAGTGCTGGAAGAGAAGTCCCCATAACTTCTGGCTATAAAAACCAGCAAGGATTGAGGCTAGGGGAGATGGAAGGCTGTTGGAGCCCCAAGAAGTTCCTTTAAAGGGCCCGACATTGCTGAAACTGGTTTGGCTCAGTGGATAGAGCGTCTGTCCTGTGGACTGAAAGGTCCCGGATTCGATTCTGGTCTAGGGCATGTACATTGGTTGCAGGCACATCCCCAGTAGGGGGTGTACAAGAGGCAGCTGGTCGATGCTTCTCTCTCATCGATGTTTCTAGCTCTCTATCCCTCTCCCTTCCTCTCTGTGAAAAATCAATAAAATGTATATTTTTTAAAAAGGGCCCACACATGGATTTACTCGGTCGGATCCACTTACTCTAAGCCTCAGTACTGCAGCAGTAGCTTGAAAGACACCAAAGACATATGGGAAAGAACCAAATCGTCCAGCATCAGGACAAGGGCTGGGAGATGGGGACAGCTTTCTTTCAGACAGAAGTGCAGAAGTGCTGGCAGAAACCATTGTTCTTTTGATGAGCCCTTCCCTCACAGACCTTGCAGATGGGTACCATATCTGAGACTCCATCAACATGGCTCACACTGTTTGCTTGACCCTAGCGATTCCCAGAGACCTCACCCTACCCAACTTGAGTTCTCACACCACTCAAGCTGTTTCCATGGCTTTTCTTGGCTCATTCTTCAGATTTTCCTAAAATCTTTCAAAAAGCAGCATTTGGTATAAGTGAACCCCAGGCCTCTTTCTAATTGGTCCCAACCCATCACTAGCAGCAGCCAGCCTTGGTTCACAGCTTGACCTCCCCTGGGCACCTCCAAGTCAGCACAAGTGGCAGCCATCTGTAGATTGCTTTGTAGTTCCGGGCAGAAAACAGACATCAGGTGACCTTGGCCTGAACCTCCCAAGAAGCTCCAGAGATAGCACACCCAGTAGACAATTTCAGACCATGAAGCAGCACCACTCAACAGCAAGACAGATGATAATTAAAATGCAAAGGGTTAAAGACAAAGAGAGAATCTTAAAAACAGCAAGAGAAAAAGTAGTTGCCGACAAGGAAGTTTCTATAAGATTGTTAGCTGACTTCTCAACAGCAGGTTTGCAGGCCAGAAGGTACTGGCCAGAAATATTCAGAGTGATAAAAAGCAAGGCCCTACAACCAAATTTACTCCACCCAGCAAAGCTATCATTTAGAATCAGAGAACAGGTAAGAGTTCCTCAGAGAAGAAAAAGCCAAGAATTCATTACCAACAAACCAGTATTATATGAAATGTTAAAGGGTTGTTTTGAAGGAGGAGAAGGAGGAAAAGGAGGAGGAGAAAAGGTCACAATTATGAATAATAAAAAGGCAATAAATACATATCTATCAACAATTGAATCTAAAAAACAAAATAAATGAACAAGCAGAACAGACTCATAGATACTGAGAACATTTTGACAGTTGCCAGATAGGAGGGGGGGTTGGGGTGATAGGAGAAAAAGGTAAAGGGATTAAGAAGTACAAATTGGTTGTTACAGAATAGTTATGGGGATGTAAAGAACAGTATAGGAAATATAGTCAATAATACTCTAATAACAGTGTATCATGTCAGATGGGTATAAGATTTATCAGGATGATCACTTAGTAAGCTATGTAATGTTTAATCACTGGGACATACACCTAAAACTATTATAATAATTTATGTTGACTGTAATTGAAAAAAATTTTAATGATTAAAAAAAAAATCTCCCTCCACCATAAAAAAACAACCAATCAAGTGAGTCCACCCCTTGGGAGTTTCAACAAAGAAGACTGGTGTGGTTGGAATCAGAGTGAGATTGCTAAGCAACCTCTAACCTAAAATAGAAAGGCTAATTTCTAAAGATGTGCTGCCACAAAGAACTGCATGAATACATGAATACCAATCATTCAATCAATACATCTCCTTTACTCTTTTCTTTCTCCCCTCTATTCCCCCTTTCCTCTTCTGCTCTCTTTCATTTCTTATCCACATGAATGAATGAGAACAAATGCAGCCTTGCCATCAGTTTGTCCCAGGTGGACCTCAGGGAACATAGGGTCCAAAAGTCATCTCTTTTCATCTGATTCAAAGATGCTCTGTTCACTGTTTCCTTTCCCTCAATCTAAGAGATAAGGAAAGAAACATGAGCAAGGGTACACATACCTTTAGGTGTGAATAAAGAACTGTCTTCAGAAGTTACCTCAGGAAGAAGGGAAGCTTCTGATTCTGGAAGAGAAAAAAAGTTTGATGAAAGGCAGCAAAAAAAATAAAAATAAAAAATAAGTGTGCTGAGTGGGGCTATTTTTTATGGTATTCTTTGTGCTTTTCTACATCAAATTTTCTTCAAGAATTGCAATAATCTAGGGAAGAAAATTATAAATGTATTTTTAAGATGATTATTATAAAGGTAAATGGAATAAAAAGTACCTACAAAAATTAATTGATTTAATTTGTGGATTTTAGGTGACTATTCAGAGTATAATAAAATTAGCCAATCAAATATTGTTAAGCTATTTAAGTGATCCAGCTTTTATTTTGGCAGCTAAAATGCCTAAGAAAGCCTTCAAGCTATTTCATGATTGATTTTTAATAATCTTATTTTTAGAATCAGAGATTGAAATGTGGTGGGAGCTAGTAACCCAGTGAGAGGTCCAAGATGCAGCATCAAGATGGATTCAGAAGAAACAAACAAACAAACAGACAGACAGACAGACAGACAAACAAACAAAAGATAGCAGTTCACCATCAAAAATTATTTGAAAGCTTTTCTTAAACCAATCTCTAATGCCCAGGCAGAGACTTAACCCTTGGCAGATGGAACTGGAGCCTGTCCAGAGGTTACATCCCTGGTTCTTCAATAAACATCTCCAAGATTCCTGGAGGTCAACTGGAGAACCAAAAAAAAGTTGACTTCAGGAAAGAAGGAAGGAAGGAAGGAAGGAAGGAAGGAAGGAAGGAAGGAAGGAAGGAAGGAAGGAAGGAAGGAAGGAAGGAAGGAAGGAAGGAGGAGCAGGGGAGGAAACCATAAAACAAAGAAAAAGAACAGTTTAGTAAATACACACACACACACACACACACACACACACACACACACTGTTATGGACTGAATTGTGTTCCACACCCCCCTCCAAATTTATATGTGGAAGCCCTACCCCAAATAGTTCAAAATTTGACTATATTTGGAGATAAAGCCTTTAAATAGGTGATAAAAGTAAAGTGAAGTCATTAGGATGGGCCATAATCTTATATGACTGGTATCCTATAAAAAGAGGAGATTAGGCCCAGCCCGTGTGGGTCAGTGGTTGAGCATTGACCCAAGAATCAGTAGGTCATGGTTTTGTTCTCAGTCAGGTCACATGCCCAGGTTGTGGGCTCCATCCCCAGTGGGGGGCATGCAAGAGACAGCCGATCAATGATACTCTCTCATCATTGATGTTTCTATCTCTTTCCCTTTCCCTTCCTTTCTCTGAAATAAATTTTAAAAAATATTTTTTAAAAAGAAGAGATTAGAACATAGACACACACAAGAAAAAGACCATGAGATGACATAGTGAGAAGGTGAATATCTATCTATAAGCTAAGGATAGAGGCCTCAGAAAAAAAATCAATCCTCCTGACACCTTGATCTCAGACTTTAGCTTTCAGAATATAAAAAAAAAAAAAAAAGCCTCTGTTGTTTAAGCCATCAGTCTGAGGTATTTGTTATGATAGTCCTGGAAAACTAACACATACCACCATTCCCTACACACACACACACACACTCACACACACACATACACACACACAATCTCTGCACTGCTCATTCAGTAGAAGAAACCCATTCCATATACATCTGATCAGCAGAATGGAAAGAATGATCAATTGTGCCAGGTACCTGTAGTGAGGGTGGATCCTTCGGTGGAAGGCACAGTGGTCAGAAGAACTGTGGTTGCCGCAGGAAGGGAGGTTGGTGTTGTCCATGGGCACGTGGTTGTCATTGTTCTGAGGGCAGTGATGGTTCTTGTCTGAAGTGGTGTTCCAGTTGTAAGGTCAGGTGTAGTCATGACTGTCGTTGGAAGCACAGCTGTGGTTGTTGGCATAGCAGTGGTGGTGGTGGTAGTGGTGGTGGTGGTGGTGGTGGTGGTGGTGGTTGGGCGTCGGGTGGTTGGGCGCCGGGTGGTTGTTGGGGCTATAACCAACAGAAAATATCTTTGATAGCAAGTGGAGATGGAGGTAAAAGGGAACAATATGAATATACCTGAGACCCTTCCATTTCCCTCTGTTTCTACGGCCTTCACCTAGTTCTCTATCCTGGACCATTGTAATGCCCATAAAAATTGTTGTTGTTTTTTGCCACTAGTCTCAGCCTTTCCAATTTGTTTTTCACACATTGGTTCAAGTAATCTTTTAAAATGACAAATCTAATTATGTCAGTTCTCTGCTTAAAACTTTTTACTGGGTTCTCCTTGCCTGTAAGCTAAAAAGCCTAGCCCACAATCTTAGCTGCAAGGTTCCATCGGATCTGGCCCTGTCTTTCCTTCCAATCTCATGTCTCCACTTCACTCTCTTTCTTTCCCAGTCATTGACCTTTCTTCAGATCTTTGAACATATTAGTGGCCTTCTGGCTGGAAGAACTTTATACCTGCTGCTTCCTAGTCTCTCTCTTCATGAGGCTATCTCCTTAACCTTCTTTCTCAGCTACATGGACACTTCTGCAAAGAGGTCATCTGTGTTATGTAATAACAATGCTTTTGCACTCTCATATTTTACCTTCATTGCATTTAATGCATTTCATAATTATACATTTATTTGATCATTATTATTTAACTAGAGGCCCAGTGCACAAAATTCATGCATGGGAGGGAGTCCCTCAGCCCAGCCTGCCCCTTCTCCCAGTCCAGGAGCCCTCAGGGGATGTCCTATTGATGGCTTAGACCCGCTCCCCTTGGGTAACAGGCCTAAACCACAGTCTTTCCTCCCTCTGCAGGAAGTAACCAGGCTGATCAGGGGAAGGACCACCCCCATCACTCCACTGCTGCTGCCACTGCCTGCCACTGCAACCGCCAAGGTGTTTTTGTGATCCCTTCACCACAAAAAAAAAAAAAAAAAAAAAAATGACAACTTTCTTTAGGCGTTATCAAGATGTCTCTTTCATAGGATATGACTTTTTTTTTTTTTTTATCCTCACAGGAGAATATCTTCCCATTGATTTTTAGAGAGCATGGAAGAGAGAGGGAAAGACAGAAACATCAATATGAGAGGCACACTTCAAACTGGTTACCTCCTGCATGAGCCTTGACCTGGGCCCTGGCCAGGGAGAAGCCTGAAACCTAGGTACACGCCCTTGATCAGAATCAAATCTGGCCTCCCTGTGGGTTTGTTGCCTCTGCTCCAACCCCAGCAGCCCAGTGCCAGGCTGCACAGCTAGGCCAGCCCTCCTGCATGTTGTTCTCTCAGGCCCTAGCCCTCACCAGGCCCCTCCTCCTGAGTTGGTCATGACCCTTATGGTGTCCCGGCCTAATTTGCATATTACCCCCTCTAAATATATATATATATATATATATCTCCAACTAGCTGGTAAGCTCCATGAGAGAATATCTGGTATTTATTTTGTTCTCTGGTACTAATCTAATACCTATTATGATGTTGAGCACATATAGGTGTTCCATAAATATCCATGGGTAAATGAATGACTGATCAAAAGTGAGCTCAAATAAAATTACAGTCAAGCAAGATGAAAAAACTCTGAAGATCTATACAACATTGTGCCTATTATTAACTCACATTAGGTGTTCTTTCCATAACAAAATAAAATAAACATCTAAAAAAAAACTGAGTCCAAAGTATGGTGAGGTGCAGTTTCTTTTGGATACTAAAGATTGGTTCGTGACCAGCACCACTCATCCCCTAAATGTCTGAATTTGGGTTCATTAGCCACAATTATTCTACAGATACCACCTTATTAAATATGCCAAATTTCCATGAACTCTAATGGCCTGAAAGACATCATTAGTTTCAAGAGAATATAAACATGACCCCACAGAGTATGGAGGTCAAACAAATATTTTATAAAATAATAGCTGGCTATACCAGGCTTGACAAGAGCAGACTTGGATAGGCATCATTTAGTTCAATAAATCAGAATAGTTATTTTGAGAAAATATGCTAATGTGTAAGGAAGTGCTTTAACTAGAAGCATCCACATCAGTTGTTCTCTAATTTTAAAATGTATTAGAATAAACTAACAAACAAAATAGAAACACTCTCATAGATACATAAAACAAACTGACAGCTGTCAGGAGATTGGGGAAGTGAGTGAAAAGGTGACAGGGTTAAGCAAAAACAAAACAAAACAAAAACCTGATACAGTATGGGGACTACCAGAGGGAAAGGAGGTGAGGGAGGTAGAAGAGAGTGCAGAAGGGATAAATGGTGATGGAAGGAGACTCGACTTGGGTTAGTGCACACACGATATAATATACAGATAATGCCTTATACAATTGTACCTGAAAGCTATATAATTTATTAACCAATGTCACCCTAATAAGTTAAATAAATATTAAAAATAATAAAATAAAGTATATTAGAGTCACCAGAGGAGCTTGTTAAGCATATTAATATCCAGACCCTGCCTTCCAAGATGCCCTTCAGTTAGGAACAGAGTGCCACATTCCCTCATCCTTGATGAGAGCTGAACCCAGCGCTTACTTTACAAGGCTCCATTCCAGACAAGCAGGAAAGGTTGTTATTGTTAGCATCATTTAGCCACAGACTGCCCTCCATGCAGCTCAAATCTTTGTGTTTTTGTTAATTCTCGCTGGAGGATATTTTCTCATTGATTTTTAGAGAGTGGAGGGAGGAGCAAGGAGGAGAGAGAGGGGGAAAAAAAATCAATGTGAGAGCGCCACATCAATTCTTTGCCTCTTTGCAGCTCAAAGCTTTAGGAGTTCCACCTTATTCCAAACTTCACCAAAAGCAGCATAGTAAACAGAAGGAAAAACATGCCTGAGAATGGCCCTGAGCATCCCCACATCACACGCCATTTCCCCGCTGCCAGAAGCTGCAAACTACTGGCTGATGGGCTGAAGCTGACCCCCAGGCACACTTTATTTAGCTTACCCATTAAGCTAAATTTTGAAATCTTTGCCAACATGCAAAAGTCAGTTTATCTCACATGAAAATTGAAACATCTGTAAACAGTGGGTGACAATCCCAAAGAAAAAAAAGCAGCTGCCTTCTTCAGATTGATGCTGAAGTTTCCTTCCCCTCATTTCTGTGGCTTTCTTGGCACACCGTGGCCCCTCTAGTCAGAGCAGCACACCTGAGATGTACTCGGTCCGCTCACGGCTTAAGGAGGCAAGGCCTCTCTACCTGCCCCCATTGAACCCATCACCCATTAACCACCAAATCTATCCTTCCACAGGCACAACCCCTTCCTGTGCTCACCTCTCGTTATCCTCAGGACAATGTTCTTCTTGACATCATTGAACCAGCCAGGCACCTCTATGCGGCAGCAGTATGTAGCGCTGTCACCTTCGTTGGTACTGAGGATAGTCAAGGAGACGTCGCCTCTCGTGATACTCCCCCAAAGCTGGTATCTATGCGACTTCTGGGAGAATACCCTGGTCCCATCAGTGTGGAGAAGCTCCTCGTTGCATTTGGAGTTGGGACATGGGCCTTTGCCCCAGCACATGCTGTTGCTGGGAGACCATGATGGGTACTGACAGGGCAAAGTCACTGTCTGGCCCACGTATCCTGTCACCACAGTCTGTGCTGCAGCTGGTGCTGTGAGGAGGGATGAGACAACCAGGTTGTGTGGAATTCAAATATCTCAGACAAGAGAGTGGTTTTCCAAACAGATAATTCCAGGAAGATAAGCACATAGACCTACTTATGCCCTACCCAGTAGTGATACCTCCCCATATGGTAGTATATGTGTTTCTTTAGTCTAAATTCTGATGTGTGCTTCACCAGAGCTGAGCCCCTAACTCCACATCTTTCCATCCCCCAAGTGGAGACAGCTAGCCCACCTGCGTCCTTTTGCTGATGTTTCTCTCTTTCCTCCTCCTCCTCCTCCTCCTCCTCCTCCTCCTCCTCCTCCTCCTCCTCCTCTTCCTCCTCCTCCTCCTTCTTCTCCTTATCCTCCTCCTCCTCCCCACTCCCTTCTGAAACTGAGTACCATAAGATAAATCAATAAATTCTCCACTGAAAAATCCTGACCCTTTAACTCAATTCCCCTACCATATTTTCTGGCGTATAAGACGACCCCCTAATTTTTGCAGTTAAACATAGGTTTAGGCCTATATTCGCTGTATAAGACTACCCCCCACTTCTGAGGCAACACCAGTTCTTTTTTTTTTTTTTAATATTTTATTGATTTTTCACAGAGAGGAAGGGAGAGGGATAGAGAGTTGGAAACATCAATGAGAGAGATACATCGACCAGCTGCCTCCTGCACACCCCCCATCAGGGATGTGCCCGCAACCAATGTACATGCCCTTGACCGGAATCGAACCTGGGACCTTTCAGTCCGCAGACTGATGCTCTATCCAGTGAGCCAAACCTGGTTTCGGCCCACTTCTTTTTTTAATAGACCTCCTCTCTGACTCTGGCCAATCTGAGCAGGCTTTTTACTAGAACACAATGTAGCTTCGGGTACAGAACATGTATAATTTGCATGCATAAAAAGCCTGCTTGGATTGGCTGAGTTAGAGAAGCGGTCTATTAAAAAAGAACTCGTGTTGCCTCGGAAGTGGGGGGTAGTCTTATACAGCGAATATAGGCCTAAACCTATGTTTTAACTGTAAAATTAGGGGGTCATCTTATATGCCGGAAAATAGGTAACTCAGATAAACAGGCCTAAACATAGCACTCTGCCCACTGTATCCCAACAAGCAGTGATTATGTACCATTGACTTGAATATCTCAAATGGGTTTCCCTCTGTCTTCCAACACAGAGTGGGCTATAGCAGGAAGATGGGCTGCCAAACTATACACCATTGCCCTCTTTTTTCAGCATAGGAAATACAAAGGAATTGCTCTGGACCATCTATTTGTTGTTAGACAATATGAGGTTAGGTGGCATTTGAGAGTTTTTAAATATTAGAACTAACCAAACCCTTCAGGTCATTCTGATATCATTGGCCACTCTCCCAGTGTATGGGGACCACCGGACAGGCTCTTTGAAGATCGCATCCCTTTCTGAGAATCTGGGAAACATTCTCACTGCTGCCAGCCACTGGTTTAATTGAGCATCCGTACTTGTTCTAAACAACAACAGAAAATCTACTGAAGTGAGAGCGAGGCAGGCTGAAGCTCCAGACCATCAGACTACATCTCAGGCGCCACGTTCCTGCTTCCTGTTTTCCTCAAGGAACCCCCTTGGCCCATGAGACCCCATTCACTGTGTTGACCCACTTGGATAAGTTGTATAAGACATGGCCCACAGGTGTCAGGAGCACCTAGCTATCCCTCTCTAGGGGAAGGTGAGCATCAACTCTAAAAGACGCCCAGAAAGGAAGCCAAAGGATGTGCTTCCCAGGCTTCCCACAGTTGACTCCCCTGATGAAGGTCATTCCAAACACAGAGCAGCCAGAGCTCTCCCTGCACTCACAGCCTCTTCACTTTGCTGCAGTGAAAATGTCTCACAGACTATAAATGCTGTAGAAGTCCACTCTGCCCATCATAAACCCAGGAAAAAAGATAAGAAATGCATTGTCATCACCCTCAGCTGTGTTAGTAACACAGAACAGGAGTGTCTAAAACAAGTAACTTCTAAAACACAGGCTAGCTCTTATTTCCATTGGGAGAATTACTTTTAAAATAGATGCAAGAATTATTTCTACTGGAGAGTCATCAGTTTATTTTCCCAAGTACTACAGCACCACAGAAAGCATCCTACTTTGTAAGACCCAAAAGAAAAACTAAAAAAGACATAACAGGCAATTCATAGATGAGGCTATATGGGCTGCCAAACTATACACCATTGCCCTCTCCTTTCAGCATAGGAAATACAAAGGAATTGCTCTGGACCATCTATTTGTTGTTAGACAATTTCATCTATTTGGCTAGTAAATTTCATCTATTTGGCCAAAACTTAGAATGCTGATAGTAGCAATTTTTAGACAACAGGGATCCAGGAAAAGATAGCCTATCGGAGTCAACTACACTGAAACAGAGTAAGGATTAGTGTAGCCTCAATGTGGGCCAATTTAGCAGTTTCTAGTAATACTCAACATGCACATGTGCATCCTAAACCTTAACAATTCTATGTTTTAATTACCCTAGAAAAACACACATGCACAAGAAAACCTAATAGCAAATGTTTACTGCAGCCTTCACATACATGTAAATGGAGTGAACAATGTGTCTGTGTGCATGGCAAAACAGGAGCATTCATTCCATAGAATTATGCATAGAAGATTATTAGAATTAGATAGACTTATGCCAGTTAGCATGATACCTCGGTCTTATGAAAGTATCGATATGAAAAGGGCAAATTTTAATATAACACACAAAATATAAAAACCATTTATAAAATAAATAAATAAATAAAAGTTCACATTGTATATGTGCATGTGGGAGTGGGGGTATAGATATATGAAGCTAAATGCATAGAAAAGTGTCTGGTGGGATATACCCCCAACTCATTGTGTTGGTCATCTCCATGACTGGAAAGGGATGAGGCCTGGTGGTGGTCATCAAAAGGGATTTGGGCTTTTTAGCATTATTTTTTTTTGTTTTTATTTGTTTCTGTATTATTCATCTGATTAAAAATGGATGGTTTTGAAAAAAAAAAAAGGGGGGGGGGAGCAGGGAATTAGGCCTTTTGGCATGGCAGAAAACACCCATTGGGCACACATTGTAAACCTCTTGTGCCTGTTGGTGCCTTTGTGATCTTGGAGGAAAGCCACTGTAATCCTAACCTCATTGTCGTCGTAAAATAAAGGGGATAATGACTTTCCCCAGAAAAAGTTTCTAAGGTTCACATGAGACGAAATATCAGTGCCACGTGGAATTAATAAAGTAACCAAACATGGGAGATTTAGAAATAGGACCAAAAACCCTATTTTTTCCAGTTACAAAAGTATCCTGGAGCAGAGGAATTGTTTGTATCAAATCAATTCCACTTTTCAGGAGCTACCCAGGATAGTGTGGGGACAACTGGGTTCTGGTGCCACTGATGTCGCCCCCAGCTGGTGACCCCAAGAAAAGCCCTTTTCCTACCCAGGGCTCAGTTCCACCATCTGCAGACTGGACTTTCTGATTTGGCATCTTTGAAGGGCATGCGCAGCTTTGATGGATTCTCAGTGACTCTGAACAGTCACTCTCTTCCAATTTGGTCATTTTAGAAAAGACCCAAATGAAAAAAAAGAGAAAGTTTACCAGCTCCTATCTCCTTTAAACAGGGTTAAAGAAACCCACCCCAGCTCAACCAACAGCTCAGCAACCAGCCAGTAGCTAGCAATGTGGACTTAGACCCCAGCAACTTTCAGCATAAAAAAATCAAGTTCCCAGAACAAGATAAAGACCATTGAAAACATTGATTTTAAAAAAAAAAAAGCAGACATGGGATGCTTTTATTCCATTAACTGCCACAGCATATCTGAGGAGATAAGCAGCTCAGTGACCTGTTCTCTGATGGGGGCACGGGTGGGGGTGGGGGGACGCTCACTGAACTCCAGGGAGGACAGGAACTCATAGCAGAAATTCCTGAATCAGTCCAGAGCGCTCAGGAAAAGCCCACCTTAGGAGGAGAGCTGAGGACCCATGAAATTGCAGAAGAAAGAGAGGCAGAGAGAACTGTATGGCACAGGCCAGAGAGGTAAAGGAAACACCTTTGCTGTCCTTGAAAGATTCATAGGCAAACAACTACCAAACTTTTAAAACTGCAAGAGACACTACATATTGTCTAGTTCTAGAATCACAGATGGTGAAAACTTGTCTTCACCAGTTTCACACAGGGAAGAGCCAGGGCTCAATAACCATGTTCCCGGTGCCAACTGTTAGTGAGCGGACAGGACTCCGGCTCAGCACAGAGCATTTGCTCACTGCCACCAGGATGCACAGGTCTCAGCCCAGGGTGTGCCTCCGCATCATCCAAAACCTGGGAGCAATGTGCCAGAAGAAACCTCTCCCTGAAACTCCTGCCTGGAGTTTAATTAAACTTAATTTCTGGCAAATTAAACTAGAAAGTATACTCAAGCTAACAATAAAGCGAAAAGAAAGAATTACAACAAGAGCCCTTCCCAGAGCAAATTGCCGTCCATCTGACTGCGCTGGTAACATCTGCAGAGGACATTTCTTTCCCTGGTTTCATCTGACCCCTTACTTCTGTGTTTCTTCTTCAATTGCCATTTCTAATATGAACACAAATGATCCCACTCTGAAACCCCCAAAGTGGTCTCAGGATAAAACTCAGTATGACAGCAAGAGGAGAGATCATCCAAAGAAAAACCCTGGGGTGGGGTGAGGGCAGGAATGAGGTGGGCTTCTGCTCCCTGAAGCCCACCAGCGAAGGAGCCCCACCTCAGGGTGCGGAGTCCCCCACCGCATGGCAGGTCAGACACTTACTCAGATAAAGCCACCACAGCTCCCTCAGCAGCCAGAGGACGAAAGGTCCCCTGGACATTGTGACTGTCAGCCGACCCCAGGAGTCTGTCTGTCTGCCCAAACTTCATTTCTTATACTCCAGTTAATGCTGACAGGGCGGGACCTTTTTGTTTTCATTTCTTCTTTTTTTGGCTCAAAGCCTTCCCTTTCCCCCATCCTGAATGGCCTTCCTGGATCTGGGATGCATGATGAAATACACTGAGCTCTTTTCTCCTGGACACTGCGGGGAGTGTGTGAACAAATCGGGGGTGGGGGTAGGTGATGGCATGGGTGAACGTGTACATAATCTTTTGTTTTAGAAATAAATCTATCAATAACCATGTTTCTATCTAGAAGGGTCACACACTGTAGAAAGACTAAGCTTGGTTTTCTTCTCTTTCTAAGGTACAATCCATGGACAGGCTTCATGGAATTCACAAACATTCCATTTGCATAACTGCATTAAACCCTCTTGAGAGGGGAGTCACAACAGTTCTAGGTATTTCAAGTCTTTGCCACCTTATTCTTTTGCACAGGGGGGCTTCCCATTGTCAAGCCAGGCCTCCCTTGCTCTCAGTCAGTACATCTCAAGTTATGTAATTTCATTCATGGCCATGGTATTTGCCTCAAAGATGGACAAGTGACCCAAAGCCAAAAGTACATAATCTCGACTTATCTATTAGGATTTTTGAGAGTCAGGGACGCTCCCTATTTTCCAATGGTCTTTGAACTGTGAGGAAATGAGGATGAATCCAATGTTAGCATGTCAGCCATCCCACCACAAGTAGGTGAAACCAGAAGGCAAGTGGAGAAATAGAGAAGCCTGAGTCTTTGACCTGGTTTGATCTCCTAAAACAAGGCACACCAATGTGCCAATACATTCTCTATGAGTTGGATTTTCTGTCATTTGGAATGTAAATACTCTGATTTCTTAAACCTAGGACTTCTCCACAGTAGAAAATTAGCTGATGATTAAAAATTTCCCCTTTCTAAGAGTTTACAACTATTAACTGATCCAACTACCTGCTTCATCAAACACCAGCTTCACCCAGACCTTTCAATTATTTGTCTACCTATTATACAAGTATTTTTCTACCTATCATGCTCTATGGCAATAATTTTCAACACGGATATGCCACAAGAATTTTTTAAAATACAATACCTGTCTAGTCAGGGGCACGGACCTCTTTTCCCTTAGATTGTCAAATGGAAAAAAGACAACAGCATCTAGTGTGAGTGAATCAACATTGTATCTATTTTTTTTTGTCAGATTAGCAATCATATATTTTTGGTATGCCTCGGAATTTTAGTAATTAGTGTCTGTTTGCCATGAGATGAAAATGATTGAAAATCTCTGTTCTAGGCCTGTGGAGTTTCTGCTAGACTCTAGAAATAAAGACAAATAGGCATTCTAACCTTAAGAGCCTGACAGTTCCAAATCTTTAAGCAGAGGGCATATTACCAAGTCCCATTTTAAAGATAAGGCCATAGAAGACCAGAGATAAAAGACATAATATAATAGAAGAAAACCGAATTCAGGTTTTCTGATAAAGAGTCCTTTGCAGTAACCAGTTCTTCCTTTCTGGTAAATGTAGGGTTAAATGTGACCCTACTTATTCATTTTTATTTGTTCCTTTCTTCATCAATTATAGCACAACTATGGCCCACGGACCAAATTTATTTTTGTAAATCACGTTTTATTGCAACACAGCCATGGCAGGTGTTTACATATTGTCTATGGCTACTTTCACACTTCAATGGCAGAGTTGTATAAATGCAAAAAATACTGTATGGGGTTTTTTCTGTTTTTTTTATTTTAATTTCTTTATTGGTTAAAGGATTACATATTTGTCCTCATCCCCCCATTATCTTCTCACCCACCCCCACTCCTGCCCTCACCCCGTCTTGTCTGTGTCTACCATGCATGTACTGTATGGTTTTAATAAAAAAAGTTTCCAATCCCTGAATGATATATTGAGTTCCTGCTATGTGACATGGTGCTAAGCACTGACACTGCAATATAAGACCAGCCATTCTTGTCCTAAAATGAACTCACAGGCTAGTACCTCCTGGTGAGAGAAAAGTGAGTTAACAGACAATACAGCACTTGATAAGATGTGACAGGAAAAGGACGAACACTATGGGAGTGCTGGGGAAAGATCCCTGCCTGGTCTTGAAGATGGAAGAAGAGAGTCAAGGACACTTTTTAAGTATAGACCTAAAGGACATTGGTGAAAGTGGGGATGGGGTGGGAAGAATTTCAGACAGAGCGCATGGTAGTTCTAATAACAGTGATAACAGTGAGGCATTGTAGACTAAAGGAAGAATTTCACCTTTATAGGTGTTTGTTATAGTATTTAAAAGTATGCCGAGCCGAAACCGGTTTGGCTCAATGGATAGAGCATCGGCTTGGGGACTGAAAGTTCCAGGGTTCGATTTCGGTCAAGGGCATGTACCTTGGTTGTGGGCATATCCCCAGTAGGGGGTGTGCAGGAGGCAGCTGATCGATGACTCTCTCTCATCGATGTTTCTAGCTTTCTATCTCTCTCCCTTCCTCTCTATACAAAATCAATAAAATATATTTTTAAAAAATAAATAAATAAAATAAAATAAAAGTAAATGGACCTGCATTACCACCATTAGTCCACCAACCAGATCTGAAATATCATGGCTGGCATATACACATAAGGAACTATCTGGCATTGAAATTGGAACTCAAAAGAACTGTTAGCCCAGAAAGGAACTCACTACAGACTGATTCATTTGCCTCTCAGCATAACCATTATGGCTTGTTGCAGTTTAGGTTCTTTCAAGGGTATTTCTTGGATCACACGATCTCACACATCTGGAGGAAATAATGAACATAAACAGACCCAGAGAAAGAGAAGCAGTGATCAGACTCTCGAACCTCAGAGGGGAAAGTAAGGGAGGATGGGGGTAAGGGGAAGAGATCAATCAAAGGACTTGTGTGCATACATATGGGCCTAGCCAGTGGCCATGGACAACAGGGGTGGGGAGAGGTGGGGGGGGGGGCATATCTAGGGAGGGGTTAGGGATGGGAATGGGGGAATAAGGACAATTATGTGAGACCATAATCAATAAAAATAAATAAATAAAAATTTAAAAAGTAAATTTAAAACTTAAATGTTTTCTTGCAATAAAAAAAGTAAATGAAGAAGCAAATAAAATAAAACAGGGCTATGTGTCCAATAAAATTCTTTTAAAGAAAAAAAAAAAGAGGGGAGGATCCAAGATGGCTGCTCAGGTAGACATCTAGCCGCGGCAGCACACAACAATTTCAATGGAATACAACTAAAATGTAGAGTGGACATTGCCCAGAGCTACAGGTAGTCGACTGACTGAAATTTCTACAACAAGAAGGAAAGAGAAAACCAGAAAGAAAATCAGAGGAGCTGAAAAAAAGCCTAAGGTACGGAGACATGCTGCGCGCGTGCCCGCCCACACGCGCGCACGGAGAGGTCGCAGCCGGAGAGGAGGAGAGGGCGGGGAGCTGCCTTTCCCTTCCTAGCAGGAAGGAAATAAAACCCCCAGCCTGGGCTGAACCCCCGAACCGGCAGCGCTGAGCCCCCCCGAACCGGCAGCCCTGAGTCCCAGTTATGGGCCAGACCCTGGGGACCCAGGCTCCGGTGGGAGGAGACAGGGCCGTGAGGCTGAAAAACGGCGAAAAGCAGGGCCCCGGGAGTCGCGCGCAATGCGCGAAGAGGACTGAATGTTGACTCTGATGCTGGGTTGCCCTAGCCGGAAGAAACAAGGCCTCCGGCGGCGCTGAGCCTCAGTCCGGACTGCTCCGAACCCCAGTTCTGGGCTAATCTCTGGGGACCCAGGCTCAGGCAGAGGGAGACGGGGCTGTGAGGTGGAGTCCGGGGAGAGCAGCAAAAGGCCGGGCCCTCGGGACTCGCGCAAACTGCGCGCAGAGGACAGTCTGTGGGACTCGCGCAAACTGCGTGCAGAGGACATTCTGTTGACTCTGATGCTGGACTTCTCTAGCAGGAAGGAGAAAAAAAAAAGCTCTAGGCTGGGGGAACGCAGAGGGGAGCGGAAGCCCCTGCCGGACTCCAGCCAACCAGGCACCAGCAAGGAGGCGGGCCACAGGGCCCCTGGGGGCGTGGGTGCCCCTGAGCCTTTGACCACTGAGCTCGGGCAACGGAGCCAAGGCCGGGGGCTGCTTCCTGGGCGGCGCCATCCCCGGCAACAGGCTGAAGCAGCGCAGGAGCCCGCGCAGAAGAAAGGGGTGCCACAGGCCAACCTGCTGAGCTCCCAGGACAAGGAGGAAGAAACCAAAGAAGTTCTCAATGTGAAGAAATCAAGTGAGAGCAAAAAATAGTAAAATTACTTAAGAAAGAATACAAAGAAGATCTTGAAAAATCAAAGACTAAGTCAGAACTCAACTCACCAGCCAACAATGCAACATAAATGCGTTTTAAAAAGAAAAAAGAAAAAAAAAACGGACAGAATGTTGGAACAGCGACGGCCAGGCCTAGAGTGGCCAGGCACAAGGCAGTGGCAGCCAGACCCGGAGCAGCAACGGCCAGGCCCCAGAACAACAGCAGCCAGAACCAGAGCATCAACAGCCAGCACTGGAGTAGCCAGACCTGGGGCAGTGGCAGCCAGGCATGAGGCGGAGGCGGCCAAGCCCAGGGTGGCCAGTCCAGGAACACCCAGACCCGGAGTGGCCGGGCCCAGAGAAGCTGGGCCCAGAGCAGCCGGGGTGGGAGCAGCCAGACCCAGAACAGCAGTAGCCAAGCCCAGAGCATCCAGGTCGGGAGTGGCCAGGCTCGGAGCGGCCGGGCCCGGGGCAGCCGGGCCCAGAGCAGCCGGGTCAGGTGCGGCCAGGCCCGGAGCAGCAGCTGCCAGGCAGGGAGCGGCCAGGCCCGGGGGAGCAGGCGGGGCTGGTGCGGCCAGGCCCGGAGCAGCGGCTGCCAGGCTGGGAGCGGCCAGGCCCGGGGGAGCAGGTGGGTCGGGTGCGCCCAGGCCCGGAGCAGCGGCTGCCAGGCTGGGAGCGGCCAGGCCCGGGGGAGC